ATATATAAGTTAATAGCTATCATAAATTATTATATGAAAAACACTACGCAAATCAAAGTGAAAAGCGCTACAGGTTATAATAACTAACATTTCCAATGAGATCTAAGATCACAAGACTGCTTGATTTGAAGTAAATACTTTGATGCTCTCAAGAGCGATAAATAACCATCGTAATCTCGATAAAATTCTAGAAGAAAAAATCTCCAAGCTATTAAATGTTATCGAGATTTTTAAACAATCTCTCAGTATACCCAATAAAATCAGTCATTCAACATCTAGTCTTTGAAACATATGCATACATTATTGTTTTATAATTTACAACTCAGATCAATAATTCTTACTGGCAATAATTAATTAAAATCAGCATCAAAAGTCGCATAAGAATACAAGTGAAGTAGAAAAGCAACAATTATTTTGAAATTTTGGGAATCTTACCCGCCTTGGAGGACACTTCGGTTTCTCCGGCTTCCGTCAGTCGCTTTTGCAGCTCCGAATAGATAAGGGAATACGTGTTGATGATGCTGAAGAGCACACCGTTGATCGTGAAACTGCCGATCATGATCATCCAGGCTCTGAGGCCGCCGTCGGGCGGTTCCGAAGCCGTGTCGGCCAAATTAATTGCATCGTCCGCTGCTGTGCGATCGGCATGGTTTTCCAAAGCGAAGCTTTCAGTGTTTCCGGTTTCCTCTTCGGTCGTCATTGTTATCGACAGTGATGTTCGTCAACTATTGACGTCTTAAAAGATATCTATAAACATCCGACAAATGTAATTAATTTTTTTAAATCTTTAAATTATAATACGAGTTAAGTTATGTATTATAACGCAATCAATTAAGTAAAAAAAATGGACAACATGCGAAATCTCCCGAATCGAAGTATGATATCGGTTCGAGAGATATAATTATACTACATTTCATTTGTTATTTTTCCTTGTGCCATAAATTCCACCTCTACGCATTCTACATCTGCTATCTAGAATCCGCGAACTCATTGGAAAATTCTGAAAGTATATGTAAATAATAATCGAGTATGTATGAGTGCCGAACATACTGAACATCAGTCGAGAGATACGCAACACATCGCATTTACTGCTCCGTAAGCTACACAAAAGTCTGCGATGTGAGCTTGATAAGTCTTTGAAGCTGGACGATGCAGCTTCAAAGACTGCAGAGCTTAGCCATTTAACTAATTCGCCATTTGACTAACGTCTCACCGATTTGATACGCATTGATATAAGATCGACTATGTGTACAATAATTAATTATACCTACAACTTTTAATTGACTCTATCCATATTAATTAATTAAATTAATTAACTTTCTATTTATATTAATTTGTCGGAATCGAAATATATACATGATATACATTTATGAAAAAGTGATTATCTTTTGAAGCTTGATTTATGCATCAATAATTTAAACGCTAGACGTATTAATAAAATATAAATTTTGATAGCTGAGAAAAAACAAAATATCTAATAGATATTGATTACATGAATGCAATTTGTAACAATGTGTCTTAAAAAGATGCATTTAATTCCCAAAGAGCTATATATAAGTAACAATTTACTTGAAATTGATTTTAGTAAGCTATTAAATTAATTCTGGATTTTATGTTATTGTTGCAATATATGTAGAAATGTCACTTCAAGCAACTTCGCAGCAATATGCACTGTCTACATGTGAAACTGGAATCATTATTCGCTGACGATAAAGTGTAAGCTTATATTACAGGAATAGCTTTCGCGTAGTGTGCAATCCAAGAATTTTCGTAATTTTCACGAAGCAAGTTTCGAATATCGCATCTCTCACAAATTCGTGAAAAAATCGAGTTCGTTAAATCCAAATTTTTCTCTATTTTTGCTTAAATGGCGGAAAGAGAGTTACACAGCCGTACTCCAATTTAAAAAATTACGATCTCGAGATTTCGCGTAATGTTATTATCCACCATGTTTCACGATATAACGCCACAAGCTTGATGTTACTTGACACTCGAGTCAAACGTTTAATAGTCCTTAACAATATCATAATCCTGTGTGACATCGCATCGATCACTGCGCACTCTCGTCACGCGCTCTTTCGTAGATTCTCTCAAAACTGAAATCAAAATAAATATAATCTTCTTCTTTGTGCATCGTAAATTATAATGCAGCAGAATATACGAAGAAGATGATAATGAATGAAACATATCTAAAATTATCCACGAAGTTGAATCGTCGTTATCAGACTTGAGTGTGAATGAAGTAGATATGAAGTAGATCATTTCATATTCGCTTAATAAATGATGAATAAACTTCATTCTGTATACTTAAAAATTGTGTTTGACTACGTACGCTTAACAGTTACTTTTGACACGAGCAATGCTGATGCAATAAAATGTAGAGTCTCTCGGAAGTCACACCAATCAACTGCGTTTTCTGTACATTTCTCAATTTCATTCACATGATTAGTATTTAGATAATAAAATAAAATAAAAATCACAATAAGAGAAAAAGTAAATTATATTGACAAAGGAATAAAGCGATCATTAATTTCGAAAATCAAGTAAAGTACAATATAAAGAAAAAAATACATTAAAAAAAAAATTTTTGATATAATTTATGCAGCTTTTGTTAATTTGTATATAAACAAATGTTTTTGCATATTTAAATGTTAAACAAATTGAAAATTGTCTGAGATAAATATAATTCTTTTATTTGTATTTTTATTAGATTTTACTTGTATTGAGAAATAATAAATAATATATGTCAGAACATCGTCCAATGTAAATAAGGATTCTTTACCTTCATTAAAGTTGTTCATGTTTTCAAAGTTTTAAAAAATTGAAGGTTACTTGATATATACACGTGCAGAACTGTACACAATCAATTACTCGTAATTAAGGCCTGAAATTATGCTTCGAAAACAGCAAATAAGATTGCAAAAAATACGCAAAATATACAAAGAATTCTCCTTATCTCAAAAACTTGTGGTTCGAAAATTAAAATATTAATGAGCGTACGATATCTTTTGTGTTTTAAGAAGATAATTTTATAACTCAGCTTTGGCAAAAACTGTTTTTTTTTTTTTTTAAAGTAATAAGTAATTTTTGCGCAAAGTCATCTAAAGTATAAGTCATCTAAAAGCCAAACTGATCAACTCCACTTTCCGTGAATTATTTCGTTTCATTAGCCAAACACTAATTATGTGAATAAAATTGAGAAATATACAGAAAATGCAGTTGGTATGGCTTCTAACAGGGTTCTAAGAGCCATGTTATTGCATCAGCTCGCGCAGAAAGTAATTGTTAAGCGCACGTGGTCAAACAATCATCAAACAAACGCCGGCTATATTAAGATATTCGTACATGGCCCGGAGATCTTTTTGACCTTGCATCAAGCGACGCTTGATATATGAAGTGCGTTCTTGGAACAGGAGACCTCACTCCAAATCTCACTCCAACTTTATCAAGCTAATTAATACATTAATCAAATTAATAACTCGATTAAATTTACTTTGTAAATTAATTGCTGCAGTAGCTTGTATTAAATTGATTGAAATTTAATTCAAAACCAAGCAAGGCCCGGTCGTTAAACGGCTCGGTTCGAGTAAGAAATGGTACGCGGGTAGAAATAGTCAGAAATGTGTGTCTAATAGTTTTACCGGTGCAGACGATCCTCGAGCGTGGCAGCGGAGTGCTGGGTGTATCACATGTCTGACGGTTCACCAACTTCTTCGGAATCGCGCCGGCTCCGAAGAGGAAGATGACGTCGGCGGCGACGGCAAAAGGGAGAGGGGGAGACTAGAAGAAAGAAGAAAACACAAAGCGCCCGACTAATCGCCCTCGAGGACCAACCGACCGATCGCGCCGTCGAACGTAAACTAAGGACGCAACCGATGTTTGGCTGCGAACAGGAGCGAGAGGTCGAAAGTTACAAGAGAACATACTAATGCGCGAAGAGAGTCGCTAACAGAGCGGGGAAAAGAGGCGACAGAAAGACGGAACGGCCATAGCGTGAATAAAAAGAAGAGCAAGAAAGAAAGAGAGAGAGAGAGAAAGACGAAGACAGAGGCGGTGCGATAACGATAGGCCAGCGTGAATAGACGCGGCGGTCGGTGACGCGCGGGTTCGGTCGGAAGAAATTTACTCGCACGCACGCATACGCATATTAGGATCGCGCGATACGCTGTAGTATTTCTACGCGTTTCGCATCGGTGTCCCGACGCCGAAAACGCGGAGAGAATAGAGCGAACCGAGAGAGAAGACGACGAAGACCACGTGGACGCCACGTGAAAAGCCTTGAAGAATTCTGATCGTCGAATACTTCAATACGAACAGGATTGAGTCCAATTGAATCTATTAATTTTTATCGATTCTGCGACGACGCAGTACGATCATTCACTCTCAAGGCGAATTCGATGGAAATGGCCCGGACACTCCTAAAATTAATCATTAAATTAATACCGATAGTTAAATAATTTGTAATTAAAAAAAAATAGGAAGCTAGGAAGGAAAAAAATGTGGTATTAAAAAGCGGATACTTTAAAGAAAAAGTACATGTTTTGACTTGTGATCCTATTTTGTCCTTGACAAAGCATTTGCATGCTACTAGTATTGTATTTGAAATTCTAAGACTTCTTAATTTTTAGATATTAGCAAAGATTGTTGTTTTGGCCATAATTTTAAAAGTTAAGCTCAGATCAGGCCTTTAGATATTATATGTAGCTATAGCAAATAATTCTAAAATATATTAAAAGATAAGTCTCATTTGCATAAGTATGACAATATAAAATGATGATAGCAAATATGTATGACAGGAAACGTATATTGTTTCAAACTATCATTTATCATCTTATATGATTCATGTATGTGTCCACAATATTATTAATAACTTCTTAAGTATCTTTCTTTTATAGAAAAAAAGTTAATAAAAAAACAGTTAAAAATACAGATTAAATATAAAATTAGATTTTTCACAAGTTAATTAATGCAGATCTTTAATGTATGAACTTTTAATGAGCAATTTATGTAAAGCTTATTAAGTTTTATATAATTATTGCACATATTTAATTTATAAATTACTTTCCAAGATTCAAGAAATGCATCCTGTGTATTTTGAGACTTTGTATTAGAAAAATAAATTTAGAGATATTTAATTAGCAGCAATTAACAAGATAAATTTAATAAGCTTTATATGTTTATCACTTTAAGCAGTAATTATAAAACTATAACGGTGTCAAGCACTTTTTACAGCGATTCTAAATAGGAATGAGAACAAAAAAATGAGAACTTGGAGCGATTTTCGGGCGGCTTATCTAACTGAATGTGACCCTGATTCAGTGATTCATTGATTAACTGATTGATATCAAAAAAACATCGATTAAAATTGTAGACCATGTGTTAGAATGCGATCGATCGTAACATACCGCAAGAAACGCATACGCCTAATCTCCACCATACTAAATGAGCTTGGAGCTGAATGTCACTGCCACGAAAAACTCCGATTAGGCCTAAAATCAACAAATGACGTTGTGTTATCGACGTTGGGCTCTGGGGATGTTGGACAACATGATCCCGATCGAGTGACATGCACCGGCTACGTGAAATTCTGCCTCCTGCCGTTGCGCGGTTTCGCGCAAGCTCGTATGCGCCCGCGTATTTTGTGCCCTGTGCACGAAATATAAAGCAGGTTATGTAACATCTCGCACGAACAAGACAAATGTGAAAGAGACGGAACACCAAGGAGTATTGCTTCATTACTGTTCGGAGTCAAAGGGGTGCCAACCCCTTTAAATGCAAGGTGGCGACATCCTCCAGTAATTTCACGAAGCTTGAAAAACCGATGCACTGCTTTACCAATACAATATCAATGCCTTTTGATACATAATCGAGCATATATATATTAATTCTTTCTACTTTTATATTTTTTCTCTTTCCTATTTTTTTCTTATTCTAAACGAAAATTTTTTATTACTTACTTTTTTTACATTTTTTTTTACTTCCAGTAGATTCCATTACGAGGCGTCACAGTCGTTGTGCTTGAATTGAAAGTATAGTACGAGTCTACTATAAGTCAGATGAATAATGGAATAAATTTTTACATGTAACGTTTCTCAACGTCACGTTTCATTATATTTAATGTAAAAACTGTACCAATTAAACAATTTGGAAGATGACCAGCGTGGATTGGGAAGAAGTTAAGAGGCTTGCCGCCGATTTCCAGAAAGCACAGCTCACCTCAACTTTACAAAAGTATGAGACATTTGCTACAATCTGGATTAACCTAATTTACTCTGACAGTGAAGCATAACAAATAATTGTAAAATAGTTGTAAATACATATTTTAGGGCCAGGAATAAATTGTATTAAAATTATCGGTTGTGTCTTGTTATTTGATTCATATCTCGTGCATAGTTTTATATTATAATAGTTTGTGAGAGCACATTTAAACATATGGCATTGATAATAATATTTAATGAATCTATTTTTATATTAAATTTAAATTAAAAAATCAATTTTATTATATTTTAATGTTTTAATAAAAATACATCTAATTTTTGCAACTATCACTCATGATCTAAATTTTCTTGTATTATCTTAAAGTGATATAAAATATATTACTTTGAAATAAGGATAATAATGTTATAAAATATACATAAAAATTTAAAAAATGATTTTTTGTATGTGATTATAAATAATATTTAACTTTTACAATGATCTAATATAATTAAATGCATATTTTTCAGACTTTCTGAGCGAAACTGCATAGAGATTATAACAACTTTGATAGAAAACAAGCTTTTGGATGTTATATTTACCAATGATGGCAAAGAATATGTAACTCCTGAGTATCTTGGGAAGGAAATCAAAGATGAGCTGTATGTTCATGGCGGAAAAGTTAGTTTAGTCGACCTGGCGCAAATTCTTAATGTAAATTTGTCACACATAACTAAAATAGTAGCAGATATCGAAAAGCACGATAGAGGACTGAAAGTTGTATTGGGGCAACTCATTGATAAGAGTTATATAAATAAAATTGCAGAAGAAATAAACGACAAACTTGTACAGCATGGTTCTCTCAATGTAGCAGAGTTGACACTTACTTATGATTTACCATCAGATTTCTTGCAATCGGTTATTGAGAAAGAACTTGGAAAGATAATACATGCCACACAAGATTCTCAAGATCCTAAACTCTTTTATACTGAAAGCTTCATTACTAGAAATAAAACAAAGATTAGAGGCGCCTTGTCTGCTATTACAAAACCTACGCCATTATCCGCAATATTAGGACAGTGTGGCGTCCCAGAAAGGATATTTTTCTGTAAGTTACTCTGCAGAATTGTAATATGAAAATATTATCAATAAGTTTTCCAATATTTTTCATTGAATACTGCTTTGTTTCTATGTTATTAAATTATGTTCAACATATCAAACAATTATATTCATCAAGTCACATTTTTCTTTATTTAAATCTATTGCTCTTCATTAGTCTTTATAATATTGTACTTAAGCTTCTTATTTATCTTATCGTATTGTGTATACGTATAGCAATCCTGGATAGCTTGCAAGAAGTAAAACAAGTACCTGGTGTTGTAACTGGAAAACAGGGTGGAAATAGCATTTATATACCTACTATATATTCTAAAAGTCAGAACGAGTGGGTTGAAAACTTTTACAAGCAGAACGGATATTTAGGTAAAGTATAAGATTTACAAGAATTTTTAGAAAATCTCGATATATCACGATATCAAATCTACTTTTATTTTTTTAGAATATGATGCGCTCACAAGACTCGGGATATCAGATCCATCAGGTTTCGTGAAACGTCATTTTCCAAAAGAGAACATGATCTTCCTAAAATCAGTTGCTGTGGGAACAGTGGTAATGGATCAGGTCGATGCCAACATCGAAGAGATCATCGCAACCGGTTCCTTCGTCGATATTTACCCTCTTTTACCATCTGTATTTAGCGACGAGGACGCGGAAATTCTCCTCAAGTTAGCTACAAAGAAAACGAAGGCTAATGTTCATATATACGCAAAGACAATTGCGGTATCTGATGCATTCTTACAAGACTTAACTAAGTCCTTGGAAACGGTAGCGGAACAAAAGGCTCGCGAAATGGTAGCTAGCGGAAAATGGATTCAATCTATTGCTGAAAATAGGGTAAAATCCAAGTCGGCGGATCCAGTGACAGAGAGTAAAGGGAGTAGTAGAAAAGAGGAACGACGGAAAAAGGCAGCTATTGGCAAAGCGGGTGGCGGTAGCCAAGGTAGGGAAACTAAGACGAAGTCGACGAAGAAGAAATATCTTCAAGGAAAAATGCAGGACAATGAATCTGATGAAGACGAGACGAGACAGACCACAGTCGGAAAAGATGAGATTACCCTAATATCCGTGCAGGATGTGAGAGCGGAAATTATAAAGGATGAGAACATATCCGCGATCGAAGAATTCGTAGACGAATTGGCGCATCAATTGCAACAGAAACTGAACAAGACTGCGTTATCATTAGCAGAGCAGTTGGCGCAACAAGACAACAGAACTACAAATCTGAGTGAAATCAGCGAGCGCCTGAATGTTCTGATAACGAATATTCGAATATTTAACAAAGGCATCAAGCATTTAAACGAGACGGATCAAGGTCTGCTAGCTAAATATCTGTTGAAGTCTCTAGGCATTGATTTTGTAACAAGTGTATTCAAATTAGCCGCTCAACAGAATATGCTGCAAGTAGCAGAAAATCTTACCACAGAGACGAGGCAAAAATTATTGCTTGAATTACCTGCAGATGTGAAGGAACCGCTAAGCGCTGTCCATAAAACGGTGATGTCGCATTCGGTGGAGGATTTTCTGAACACTGTCGACGGAGCGATGGCAGCTTGTTCTTTGGTTCTGAAGAAGTATGATAAGAAGAAGGAACGGCCGCAGGTGCACGCTCATACGGAAGCTTTGTTGGAGAAGTTGAACGCAACGCAAGATCCCGCGTTGGCATTGCATCTGGCCACAAGCGTGCTTTTCACTGGTGTCACGCAAAACGCCTTGTACATGTCCGGCAAACACGTAGCAAATGTTCTTGCCTTCCTAGAAAAGCAGTTAGAACCTGATACAATGACAACTCTTTTTAGATACTATGGTATGTAAAGATCTAAAAATTAAAGAAAAGAATTTTTATATAGTTAATTTAATTAACAAAAAAAAATGTTTTTTTTTGCACAGATTTAGTAGTTCGTTTACTAGGATCTCGTAATACGGATAATCAAGAAGAGGTTTCCAACCGCTTGGATCAGGAAGAAGTTTCCAAGCGCTTGGAAGAAGGATTGATGGATATAAAAAGCATTGCCAATAATTTCAAGCAACACATGAGAACGGACAAGTCTTGAGAGGGATTACGCAATAGAATTAAATAATAACATCACATTATAACATAAATAATGTAAAATAGCTTCATGTTATATAGGTATTTGTTATATAACAAATCATGGTTGTATTTTATAATAAAATATAGGATGTATAATAGAGTAATATAAAAAAATCTCTCCCATGACCGCGAACAAATTTATTGATATCATGGTGCTTCTATCCTAATATTTGATAAATGCACTTGTCTTATGATATAAAATTCTCCTAATACTTATCATGTTAATTGCACTTACAATTTTCATTATTTTTACAATAAATCCAATGATAAATATCAATGTAACTGAATGTTTACAATGATAAACTCACCTACATATGTACATATTTTCCTATATGTATAACTTAGAAGACACTTGATAGCTGTTCTTGTATATACACATAAATATCACAAAATGCAGTCCTTGCAATCTTGGTTTATAAAGTTGCTAAGATTCGCGTAAATCCGACGCAAACTGGTAACACGGTTTGTCCAATGCCCCAAAACATTGCATACAAGGGTGGCATTTGATAACCGGATGCTCTATACACAAAGGCAACTGCTGCTGAACTAACAACACCTGATGTTAGTGGTAACAATACGCCCATTATTATAATAAGTAGCGGAAAAAATCTGTAAAGAAAAATATATGACAATTAAGTGTATCATTCGCATATATTCAAGTGCATATAATCATGCAATTCATAAATAACTATTAAATCTTATACATACTTGCCATATTTGTGCTGTCGCAAAGTGGCGAAACAAATAGCGCCAGCAATTGTATGCACAAATATTGAAGAGAATAGAGCCCATAGAAATATTTGATACCACATTTCTGTGAAATAAGATAAACATTAGACTTTGTTATAAATTTTTATATAGATAAAATTTGATTGCATTTTATAATAAGTTGTGCGTGTAGATGTGATTATGTACCTGCGAACGATGTTAAAGGCATATAAAATATATTGCCAGAGTTCATATTTCGTAATGCCATTTGCGGTCGCACTAAATTGATATCCGTTTGCGTATCCATTTACGCATCGATGAGAGAAAGAGAGAGAGACTTTCCAAATAGTTTTTACGTGAGACGTGCGAATTTTTTGTTTCTTTTATGCTAATTTGACAATTGTCGCTAAGGTTATAGTGACAATTAAAACATCGTTAAGAAATTATTCCAGAATTATTAACTAACATCACAGTTGCGGCGTAAGAGAGACAGTGGTAATAATAATCATATAAATGGATATTCATCCTCGATAAAGTGGCGTAAAATAATTGAAGGAATTCAAATGTCAGTCAACAGTACAACATTATTCGCCGTTTATAAGTTGACTATTCGTCGTCTTTCGGTTGGCAATCGTTGTTTGCAGGTCTGCCACATGCAAGAATGAAAATATTTCAATCATGCGTATAATGATATTTCATCTACGCAAACTCGTGTGATCACGTGGTCAAAATACTTCCGTTTAGCATTATTGCGGCAGTTCCGGTTAGTCCCGGTCTTTCTTTCCACAATTAGCAACGGGACGAGTAGGACGTTCTCTCGTATCCTTGTGTCGTAACTTACTGATATAATCCTGCGAGTTATCTTGTGTTTTCCATTTAGTCGCGAAGTTCTTAAAGTTAAGCGTTATCAGAAGTTTTTCGCACGCTAAATATCAGAAATATTCTGATATTTTAAATACGATTTTCTAATTTCGACGCTTATAACCATGATGCACGTGGGCAGCATCCTGTTTTGGGGATCGAAGCCATTACGAATAATTCAGCATGTGAGTAGAACAAATTTATAAAATTTATAGAAGATTGCAATTTGGATTAAATACTTACTTAAGATCGATTTATAATATCCTCTCATTTTGGCATGCCTCTATTTAGTATATCGATAGAGCATGAATGCTTGTGGGAGGTAAAGTAATGGGGGAATTTGCCTTCGGAATCCACACGTTTTACTGTCTGGAGCCGTTTCTCTAAGTTCCCCACAATTTCTTAATTCTTAAACATATTTTTGAAATTTTATGCTTGTGTCAATAAATTTGTATTTGGCACGTTTTATAATTATTATATTAAATATTTAAGTGTATACCTCTAAGAAATGTTTAATTTATTTTAAGGCTTTTCCTGTTCTTCTCGCTACAGCCATGTTGGAATATGAAGTAAAAGACATCAAGAGATGAAAAATGCAGCTACAGCATTAAAGAAGTTTGTCAGAAAATATTTTCCAGCATGCGTTTCAGAAGCTTGTAGAAAGCTGTAAAGAATGCTATTTTGAGAAAGAAATTTATTTCTACTATCAAGATAGTTCAAAACTTGAATAATGAGGTAAATCCTTAT